CGCTGTGGCTGCGGTGCGCGTGTGTTGTCTCGGGTCGAGCTGTGTCTCGAGTGAGCCGACGAGTGCCGTTATCTCCGATTCGTCCACTTCTGAGGCGAGCATCTCTTCGAGTGACTTCTGCTGATGACTACTATTGGCAGCCATTTTGCTATAAGCGTAAGACATACCTGTGCTGTGGGTAAACACATACTGAATGCCATTCGTATAGTGAGCGAGCAGTCAGTACAGCGTAAATGCTTGCGCTCTCCACCACTCACTCTCTCTCACCATAGACTAGCGATGCGAGCGCTCGATACCACTCAATCCACTCAATACGCATACACTCTGTGCCACAGCCTATGCAGTGCTATGGACTGTGCGATAGGCGATAAGGGCTGGCAATCAGTGCCACACGACGTCATCGACTAGTGGTGAACGCAACCAGTGGTGAGTGACTATTCGTGTCATACCAGTGCTGCCATCGCTCGGCCTTAAGCACACTGTACTCTACGTATACTTTTATATTCAGCAATGTTATAGCGTTGACTGTATGGCGAGATTTATTATGGCTAGATGAGTGTATAAATTAATTTATTTAGCATTGTATCATATTTTTCACCATCAGTTTATTGGTTTTGTACTAAACTATGGTGTTTTTGTGTGCGAATAAAAACTTTCCATGTTCAAATCATATTCAAACACTTTGTTAAACTCTTTGAACTTTACGTAATTAGTGTGAAGTGCATAGCGTTATAGTGTTGTACGCAATAATAGGCGCGCCTATGATTGGGCTCGAGTTCATGACTCGACTTCAACCCTGACTACCATAGACTGCCATATAAGAGGAGCGGTCGAGTGGCACAGCGTTTCATTTGTTCGTCTCGAGCCCTACGCTTAGGTTCACCACTAGTTGTCTGCCATTCGTTTGGATACAGAGACAGAGAGAGAGAGACAGCGATTGAGTGGTAAATGCATTGACTGTATGTCTGGTTGTGTTGTGTGTGTTATGCGAGCTATTGTTGTGTCCATTCATTCACACATTCATTATACACACCATTCGTACGCTTGTGTTGTAAGCCATCTATTGATCCACTCTTTTGATTGTCTTCATCGACAGCACCGGCGCTGACGATCACCGCAAACATCCCATAAACGAGAAGACTGACGATGACTACCACACCATTCCTCGGGTGTAAAATCTCGTTGATCTCCAAGAGTGAGATCAGGTATGAGGGGATACTCTACACGATTGATCCCAAGGAGTCGACAATCGCGTTGTCTAAAGGTATGTGTCATCCATTGATTGATCCGTTGTTTAATTGATGCCATAATGTAATGATTGTCTGCTTTGTTGTGTCCATTAGTGCGCTCTTATGGCACTGAAGACAGACCGGCCGAACGCCAGGTGCCGCCCCGGGACGACATCTTCGAGTATATCATCTTCAGGG